AAGGCAGCTAGTCATCACCACCCCTCTTGGGCTACTCTTTTACCAACGAATAGTGAGATTGACCATCACATTATAACGCCCCTACGGCTGGTAGGACGGGGATTCGAACCCGCGACCCTCAAATTGCGAGTCGAGTGCCGTAACCACCTGGCCATGCCGAGCCCGATTCTTATAAAGAAAAAAAAACGTTTTAATTCATTCAATGTTTCGTTTTTATAACTTCTACAGGAACAACATTTTACTTTGATCAAATGTAAATGGTCGCTTCTAAAGAAAATAAGATAAAACGTTGAGCGAAGAAAAATATTTCTTCTAGAATTATCAATTGCTCGATGAAGTTAAAGATATATTAGCTTAAGAAATGGAACATGAATATGTATCTATTTCATCTAAATACAATGAAAAGGACTAACAGGATCATCAGACTTGATTTCCTGTAATTATATTTCTTCTTTATCTTGTAAGATGAAGGGTAAAATTTGGCAGTCTTGAATATATTTCTAAAGTTTATATATTTTTTGAAAGAAGAGTTCTAACTAACTTGCTTACAAGTTTTGTTTTTGTTGTTGTCGTCTGTTCCTGATAATAATAGATATTCCACATCCTTAGCTCTTGATTAGACAGCAAGTTAGTTGCCAGGTTTGTGACATTCTTTTAGAGTACACTTCCCACTCTCACACACTATAAATATGTGTGTGAGCTTGGAGTATGTGCCAAAGTCAATCAAAGTCAAAATCAATTAGGTGCCGTGTCACTTCTATTTCAGATTTGGCCGGGCGTGGCTTAATAGTTAATGTGCCGAACTACGGAATCGAGGATACATGATCTGCATCATGTTGCCGCAAAAATAAAATAAAAATCATGATCCGCACTTTGAAGTCGTGGGTGCGTTATAAGTTTGGCAGCTAAATCCCTCTATTCGATTTCAGTAGCCCAAGAGTTGGCGATGAGTGCTGCTGACTAGCTGCCTTCCATCTAGTCTATCAGTTCAAAATTAGGGTCGGCTGTCAAAAATAGCTCTTCTGTAGTTTTGCGAAATATCAAAAATAAAACTGACCTGTTTCAGATTTGAATAAATATGACACTCATTTAGAGCAGTTACTGTTATGTTGTATTTTCATCAGAAACAAAAATATCCTTTGATTCTTAACACGCCCTGTAGATAAATAGATAGACGTGGCTATTAATTTTTCTATTAGCATACACGTTAAAATATTAATCTCGATCTATACATTGACTACCATTAAAGTAAACTTGCATAGGCGAGTTTAAAAGTTCGTTTTATCAAATTATTGATGTCGCACGTACCGTTAAGTCATTCTCTAAGATTTCTAAAAACTTTAAAATGCTGGGCCTTATTCGGTTTGTTTGTTTTATTTTTTTCTCAAACTGTTTTCTATTAGGTTCTACCCTGCCTTCACACGTTCTGTGAAAGTTGTCTGGTGCAATATATCCCCGCAGAAAGTCTAACAGTCACTTGCCCCATCTGTCGACAGCAGTCGATACTACCAAAGCAAGGTGTCTCGGCTCTACAAGACAACGACTTCATCGCTAATCTAATGGAGGTTCTAGAGCAGCCTGTCGTCTGCCAACGTAGGGAATGTCAATCTCCAGGGGTTCGAAAGTGCACCTCATGTGACGAATTCCTCTGTGATGTTTGTTGCGAGGTACACAAGAAGGAATCTTCCTCTTGTAATGAGATGATCATCTCAATCAGTGAACTCGCCCTCAGAGAGGAGCAGGAGAAAAGCAAGGAAAGCCCGTCATTGATGTGTCCTAAACACTCTTTTCAAACTCTTCGATTTTACTGTCGCGATTGTGAAACAGCTGTCTGCGTCACGTGTACAGACATCGAACATGGAGGTCATGGAACTATGAGACTGCGAGAAGCAATAGAGGACCAGAAAGATGCGTTAAAGTCGCTTCTACAAAAGGCATACTCACAGGTTCCTAATATTAAAGAAGCCATTGAAGCCGTGTACGTAACATCATCTAATTTATCAGAAAGATACTCACAAGTTTCAAAAGAAGTTTACTTCTGTTTTGAAACCTTAATAGAAATTATTCAGATGAGAAAATCCTTCCTTCTCAAAGAGCTGGAAGAATGTTATGAGTCCAAACAACAGACTCTTATACAACAAAGAGAAGCTCTTGGGACGATTTTGAACAGTTTATCAAGCAGCTGTGAATTTACGGAAAACGTCCTTACTCATAGCAACGAAACCGAAATACTTTTAATAAGAAAACAAATGACAGAAAAATTAAAAGAATTTTCTGAGCTTGTCGTAAAAAAAGAGCCTGAAGAAAACAGTTATATTGCTTTTGAAGAAGGGAATCTCAACATGTTAAAAAGTAAAATACAGGAGTTTGGATGTATCAAAACAAACAGTGCTGTCGCTGACGAAACGACAGCTTCTGGCGAAGGATTGAAACGTTGTATTGTAGGTAGACCAACTCTTGTAAGTGTTGTTACCAAAGACAGGAATAGGGAGATTGTGAAAACTGGAAACGCATTACTTGAAACTGAAATCGTGTCAACACACCTATCTTTGTTGTTCACTCCAGAAGTGTTACCTCAGAGGAATGGAAGCTACGACTTAGTATACACTGTTACTAGAGAGGGAATCTATAAACTGTCAATTAAGTTGTTTGGAAAGCACATCAAGGGAAGTCCATTCGAAATTAAAGCGTATATAGGAGAAGGCAGCTCTTCCAGTGATCGGCCAACCAGTTCCAAAATTCCAAGGACGACAGCAGTACGACAACGTGGCATTAAACGACCACCAAGCTACCCGTCTACCATCTCAATGCGTAGAAGAAACCCCATTGAAGATGATTTGATACTGAGAATTGGGACGAGAGGACGTGGGAAGGGGGAATTTGCCAATCCTCAAGGGGTTTGTTTTACAGAAAGTGGATTTATTGTAGTAGCAGACAGTAACAATCAATGTATCCAGGTGTTTTCTTTGACAGGGGATTGTAAATTACGCTTTGGAATAAGAGGAAGAAGCGCTGGCCAGATTCAGAGGCCGACAGGTGTCGCTGTTACTGGAACAGGAAACTATGTCGTGGCAGATTACGAGAATAAATGGATCAGTGTTTTTAATCCGTCCGGGAAGTTTATAGGACGTCTAGGAGTAGGAAAACTTCTTGGTCCCAAAGGAGTAACAGTCGACAAGAATGGTCATATTATAGCCATTGATAATAAAGCTAGTTGTGTATTAATATTCCAAGAAAACGGAAAACTCTTGAATAAATTTGGAACAAGAGGAACAGGGAACATGAAGTTCGCGGGTCCTCATTATGTAGCTGTAAATAACAAGGATCAGCTGTTAGTTTCTGATTTTCATAATCATTGCATTAAGATCTTTGATAGTGATGGAAAGTTCGTTTCCAGTTTCGGATCTAGTGGACAAGGAAATGGACAGTTTAATGCTCCAACAGGTATTGCCATTGACAACCAAGAAAATATCTTGGTGGCCGACTGGGGAAACAGTCGCATTCAGGTAATTATGATAGAATATTTTGTTTTTGTAACAACCAACACTAAATTAAATTTCAACTGTGTAGGATTATTCGATACATACTAACAAACAAGTATCACTAAGTATATCAAACCGTGACAAATTTGGAAAATATTCAAATATAGATATAAATCAGTAAATAGAAATAACTATCCTTAATGATTGTTCTATCATTTTTAGTCATATTTAATTGTGCGATTGTGGACATTGATAGAGAACAAAAGGGTCATTAAAAGGTATTTAAGTACAGAATGTTATATTTTTGCATATTTGAATTTCTTTATATATTTTTCTTCTAAAATAGATAAGCTATAGATATTGTGTAGGTGTAATTTTGTCCTAATATTCTTTACACAATACATATAGCTAATGGTAATTAAGTAACTATGTGTGCATTAACCCTAACCGTTCGTAAATTTTTCCTATCATCTGAGAGGGAGAAAAACCGAGTTAAAAAGTTTTTGGGTGTCTTGTAAACTTGTCACAACCACGTATTGCGAGTTACAAGTTATACATTTTGATTTAGCATGTTTGTTTGTTTGTTTTGAATTTCGCGCAAAGCTACATTTCAAATATTACCGCTAAGTAAAACAACTGAAATTTTTATTAAGTTTGATAAGCGAAGTAGTGGTTTCTGTAATGAGTTTCAACTCTTAGAGGATTGTAATCAAATTAATTAAATAAAGTTTGGCTGGATAATCTGCTTTTCATACGCACATTAATTAATTTAGTCAATACCATAGTTTTGTTAGTTTGATCAAAAGTCGCTTCTATTTGGTATTTGCAGAGACGTTTTTTTACTTAGCGATAATATTTGAAATGAAGTTGTATTTATATTTACAGCAATGTATTTTGCAGTTTATAATAAATTTCGATTATCTAGTTTTTCCACGGATAAGTTACTAAACGTTCTCGAGAATATGTAAACATTTATAAATATAAGGTCTACCAAATAATTTATTACATTCACAAGTATGTTTATTCTTTTCAAACTGATAAAGAAGTGGAAAATATATCTTTGGAATTGATATTCAAAAACAGTAGGAATAATTATTCAATCGATTACGGCCCGGCATGGCCAGGTGGTTAGGACGCTCGACTCGCAATCTGCGGGTCGCGGGTTTGAATCCCCGTCTCACCAAACATGCTCGCCCTTTCAGTCGTGGGGGCGTTATAATGTGACGGTCAATCCCACTATTCGTTGGTGGGTGGTGATGACTAGCTGCCTTCCCTCTAGTCTTACACTGCAAAATTAGGGACGGCTAGTGCAGATAGCCCTCGTGTAGCTTTGCGCGAAACTCAAAAACAAACAATCGATTAGTCATGTTCTTACATAATATATTTTGAAATACTATATTATGTTGTATTATGCTATATAAAATTGTATGGTATACTTACCTAATAAGTTGTTTTCTCACTTCAGGTTTTCGACAGTGGGGGATCTTTCCTCTCTTTTGTTAATACCAACGGAAATCCACTTTATGGACCACAGGGCCTAGCAGTGACATCTGATGGCATCGTTATAGTTGCAGATTCAGGCAATCATTGCCTTAAAGTTTATAAATACTTGCAGTAAAAGTAATTTGCACTAAACACTTAAATACTCAGTTTATTCTAGTTTTCCCAACTCTATTAACGTTTTGATTTGTTTCTCTCATAGAAAACATTTCTGTCAATATTCTAGTATTCATCTAAATGATTAATTTTTTATATACTTTTGTAAGAAACAAGAGGTATGAATACTTTTTCTTGGTTTTTTTCAGCTTAAACATTGAACACTAAATACGCTCCTTGACCAGACTGGCTACAAAAAGTAATACCACGAGCTGAATTTAACATATAATCTCGACCGAACTTAAATTAGGGCTCGAGAAAAATCAAAAAGTTTTATGGATACGAAATATGTATATACTATAGAAAATTAGGTACGTAGTATTTGTATACTACGAGCTTAACAAGTCATCTCAAAGTCTGAACGAGGCTTAGCTATAAGAAAAAAGAAATGTTTGTAAATATGTCATATGCTTTAGGTTATTACATTGTCATTTACTTATGTTAAACAAGGGTGATGATTAATTATCTTATGAAATAATTATTCAAAAAAGTCATAATCTCCCCTTACTATTCTAAAATTTAATAAAGTGGTAAAACGTGTTCCTTGGGCTCTGGAAAAACATTACACCTTTAAGTTAAATAATGTTCAAACGCAGGACATTAGAAAAATATAGGTTCTCCAACATTTAGACTTTATGTGTCGTAACGCAGATTATTGTTTATGTATTCAAAAATGTTGTGGACAAAAGTTCCATTTGTGTATCCATAGAGACATATAGACAAAGAGCTAATCTCTTGCAAAACTCTAATGATTAAAAACTAGGCCTAATTTACTTAATTAAACATAAATACTAAACCTATGTTGTGTAACGTTTGCCACCATAACTGGTGACAATAAATGGAACACTCCTGTTGTAGACAACTTAATCCTTTTTAAAGCTCACCTAAAACCTAAACTTTTAACAAGCTTCTGTGACACATATACGGCACAATTACAAAAAACAAAGACGAATCTAATCATGATTTACAGCCTACAACCACATCTAGTGAGCATCAGTCAATTATATTTTACCTTTCCCCATTTGCTATCGATTGACGTTCTAAGAGGTACTTTTCCATTTTTTCTTGATTCGTGTGTGCTGAATTATATCAGCTACAGTCGCCCATATTTTGGCATCTCCAGGTACATCTTCTGATGTTTCGTCAACAAATTAACACTAATATGCGGTTTTGGTATAGAGCAGTTAATAACCAACCATTGAAATACTTCTGCATTATTCTGCAAATGAGAATAATTTGTTTGTCATTAACGGTGACATATTTGTCTTATTAATATATATATATATATGTTCGATTGCATGGTTTCACTAAGGGAACATTCTGACTTATTAATGTTTTGACATTTTTTGGAAGAGGTTATTGCTTATGTAGACAAGAGTACGAGTGCGTATTTGGATTTTCAGAAAGCATTTGACAAAGTGTCCCATAAAGGCTTGTTAAAAAGTTATTTCTATAGATGTGAGGGATAGGTTGGCTCATTGGATAGAAAACTGGTTAGATGAAAGAAAATAGAGGGTTTTTATAAATGGATTTCAGTTAAAATTAATTAATTTCACGAGTGTGGTAGCTCAGAGCTCGGTGTTAGTACTGTTGTTCTTTTGTATTTACATCAGTGACATGGGTGAAAGAATGATCAATAGGTTATATAAATTTGCTGAGGACATTAAAGTTTTGGGTGTTGCTGGATGTGAGGAGAATGATACTACTTTACTAAAGGATTTGGATTATTTGGTTAGTTTGGTGAATAAATGGCGGATGACTTTTAATTATAATAAATGCGAAGTAATGAATGTGGGATATCGCAATTTGAAATATCAGTATAATTTTGATGGGAATAACTTCAAAAGGATCTAGATATTCTGGTGGATCAGTCTCTTAAGCCATCCAAGCAATGTGCTGTTGCTAGTGGTAGGGTTAGGTTGTTTGTAGAGAAATATTTGATACAAGTCTAAAAATGTTATTATGTCATTGTATACACTATTTTTGAAGTACTGTATTCAGTCTTGGGCTCTTACCACAAATAGGTCATTGAATAATTGTAAATGGTTCAGTGGTTTGTTTGTTCATATTTAAGCACAAAGCTACACAATGGGTTATCTGTGTTCTGCCCACACGGGTATCGAAAGCCGGTTTCTAGCGTTATAAGTCTGCAGACATACCACTTTGCCACTGGAGGCTGGTTCAGAGGAGGGCTACTAGCTTGATACGTGGGTAGAAAGGTTGTCATACGATGATAGGTTGAGACCTCTAAAATTTTATTTCTTGAAAATAAAAGAAGAACTGAGGGGAATGTGATTGAGGTGTTTAAGGTTATTAAGAGAATTGATGGTGTTGATGCATCATCTTTTTCGCACTTACTGGTCAAAATAATAAGATTAGGGAACACATATGTAAATTTTGGCAGAGTAGGAGTCGTCGTCAATTAAGACAGCTTTATTTTTCTAAGAGGGTGGGTGGCTTTTGGAACGGGCTGTCTGCAGATGGGAGTTAAGGGAGTTTATGGAAAAGTTTGATAAATATTTGAATGATAAAGGCTGCTTTTGAGTTTTTCAGTGATTAGTTTAATTTAGTAGATAGGACAGCCTAGATGAACCAAAAGGTTCTTTGTTGTCCTTTAATGTTATGCTATATTAATTTAGACAACCAATGCCTTTCCAAAATGGTGAAATGTGTGGAAGCTAATATGTGTATTTTATGAAAAATGTTTTGTTCGTTTTTCCGTTTTACAGCAAAGTTACTCAGTGTGTTGTTTGCACTCTGCCCATCGCGAAGAATCGAACCACAGAGAGACATTAAAATGTTTGATATGATATCAATGCTTTGCAGTATGTCTTAGGACTTACAACGCTAGAAACCTGGTTTCGATAACCGTGGTGGGCAGAGCACAGATAGCCCATTGTGTAGCTTTGTGCTTAACTTCAAACAAACAAGTGCTTTACATGTAATTTTGTGAGCCTTCTGAATTCAATCTATGAAATCTTGGAAATTGTACGTCAACTTTGGAAACTGTCACTCTTACAGGGAAAAATTTGAGTTAAAAATCTAACTAATAGCTATGCCAGTCTTAATCAAGGTTCGTTTATATTCTGATCTGTCAAATTATTACAAGGTACTTTTAGTTTAAAACCTCTTTAAAATTTCATGGTATTATTTCACGGTCAATTATATTAATTTAGTCTCTTTATAGATCAAAATTTTGTAAATTTATTATTATTATTATTACAACTGAATTAGGACTTGATTTCTTTGATTGTTTGGATCTATTATTTATTTATCTTATTAGTTCGGAACTTTGAGCTTATAACTGAACAATAATGAGGGATATATTTCAGCTTATTACCTGTAGGTGTCGTCGGAAATATTATATATATATTTCCATATGTTTTAATTACCAAATAGTGTTTTTGGAGATTACAGTCCAGAATAAAAAAACACCTAAAACATTCAAAATCATACGATATTATTAATAACATGATAAACCTTTTTATTACTTTAATAATTTAGATGTACATTTTAGCGTCGAATGTATCTTAAGGCTTATTAGCTCTACCACATGGATCTTGTAGTAAACATAACTTATTATAGCCCAAAGGTCGTTGTCCACTAAAAACCTCTTATGAACCTTTTATGAGTGATATCACATGAGAAAAAAAAGAAGGATTAGTGATTAATATGATGGCTTAACGTTATTTTATATGTTATTTTAATCCTTCTTTTTTCTGCAGATCAGCTGGATTCTATAAATTAATACTTAACCAAGGAAAGTAAAGAGCTAGGAATAAGATTACGGAAAAGGTCGTGCTGAACACACATTGTATATGTAGTGTTTATGTTGTATTGTCATTTGTAAAATACAAATAGTGGAGATGATAAAAACGGCTTATTCTGAAAAATAGGTGATGGGAATGAGCTAAGTAAATTTTTGTCACCTGATTTAACACAGTAAGTGCTAACATAATCTATACGATAGTTGATGAATGTTTAAAACGTTATTACTCCGAACAATATCAATATATACAAACAAATGTGTGTTTCCAAGTCGTATGAATTCAGAAAATATATAATTTAGATTTATACTATTTACGTTCACCCTATTTATGTAAAACGAATCTTGATTTGTGAACTTGTAATATAACTTACTTATAAGTATTTATAAAATGTTAATCGTGGTATCCTTTTGAGTTTTAAAAAAAAATTCAACATATGAATTCTTATATGACATAAAAAATCTTCGTATGTTATTAAGCGTATTGTGATAATAAAGTGCAATATAATATACATAAGTCTCATATGTTGTACTGTAGAGTCCAAAGTTCATAGTTTACATTACAATATGAAGATGTATGTCTAGTTACTAATAAATACATAACATATAAAACCATAATATTCCATAAATTATGTAGTTTAGAGATAATTATGAATTATTTAAATTTTCAGCAATTGTAATAAAAAATATGAGGTCGAAGAATTGTCAAATCTCCATTTTATCTCATTTTTTTGTACTGCACATAGATCTATACTCAATGTAAATATTGTGAATATGTATATATATCCCATAAGTTTGTATATTAACTGACTGCGTGTATACTTGTTAAATATATAAATCAATGACGCTTATCAGAATTTCAACTGAAGTCCAGAACCGTCAGTCAAGATTATTCAGGATTAGATATATTTTCTTTGTGATGAGGTTTTTCCCAACTTTGTATCTGATCTTTACAAATATATGTTTTGTGCTCGAATGTTAAAAAGTAAACGCATTAGTTTAAACTTTACGTTAAAATATTTAAAAACACCAAAGAAATTGCTAAAGACATTATATATATATATAAACACCTTAAAGTGATTAACTTATTTACAGGCAAGGGCTTAAGACTACACATTGTTGTTGTTTTTTTAAATGTGGTAAAATTAACCACCTTCTGAATACAAATTGTCTGCTTTAAGAGAAAAAAAAAACGTTACTACCTAAACTTGTAACTTGTTTTCTGTGTTTCGGATTTTTTTTTTTATATTTTGCTCACTTTGAAAATGGATTTCGAAGTACAAGCTTACGTAGTGAATTACACTTGCTGCTACAAGATCAAAGCATTATATGTGCTATTGTAAAAAGTTTGTTTAAATATTTTTGAGAAAAAAGAAAAAATAAGAAATAGTTTATTTGATTATTTATATATATATATATTCCAATAAGTTTTATTAGCGATGAAATTATTGGTATAAACTCGTATAAATGTACATATATACCAAAATATTAAAGACGAATAAAGACATGTTCACAGAACTAGTTTATCTCGGGTCATTATGTAAAAAAATACCTAACTAAGACACTTGCATCTAAACTTCTATAGAAAATATTCGAATCAGTCATATTTCAATAAAAAGATCAACGAAAGAGATGATGAGCACGTGGAATGTATTAATACAGATACAATAACGCTGCAGAAAAAAATGTTTTACTATGTTGCAATAAATCAATAAACTACTATGATTACGTGTTTTACGTAAATATCCACTATCTTCTAAGCAGATCTGAACACTATTACCGAGTGTTGTTTTTAATTAATCATTTCGTTCTATACTTATTATAGTCTAAAACTCCATCTCAAAGTTTCCCCCTATGAGACAGTGGTAAGTTTACAAAGTTACAACGCTAAAATACGAGTTTCGATTCCCATTGGTTGATGCAGGACTTTGCTCGAAATTAAACAAACAATAGATCTGTAAGATTACATTTAGATCTGGCGTGTGTGTAAGGTAGGAATATTTTTAGTGTGATTAATACAGGGAAGCACAACAGTGCGTGTAAAAATAAAAGGTCATATATCGATAGAAAAAGGCATAATGTTTTGGTTTTCGTAAAAAGAAAAGGAAATTGATACAGAACAAAATTAAATAAATATAAATCTATACTTTATGTACTTGTTGATCCAGCAAACATGATCAACTGTAATCAAGTTAATGATACTTGAAATGATTGGCTTGGTTGTTGTTAAGCGCATTTCTACACAATGAGATATCTTGTTCTGCCCATCTCGGGTATCGAAACCTGATTTTTAGCGGCGTAAACTCGCGGAATTACTGCTGAGGCCACTTGAATAAGTACTGAATTATATTATCTAAATTTTGGTGTGCTATACTGAATCCGAGTAATGTCGTGGGGGCTCTACTGTCATGCACAACTATATAAACGTGACTAATAACATGTTTGGTTGTTTCGGATATTCGTGTAAAGCTACGCAAGGGTTATCTGCACATAGTCATCCCTAATTTTGAAGCAATAGGCAAGAGGGCAGGTAGTTTATTAACAAC